CCCAGTGTGGGGAGGCACTCATGTGCAGGTGGGGCTGTGGGGCCAGCCACGGCAAAGGAAAAGCTTTCCCTGGCACTGCTGAGAGCCAGTAATCCCTCTCTGGCAGGAGGAAGGTTGCTGTATCTCTGGGAGCCCCAAAAAAATCATCCACAGTGGTTTTTGAGGACAGTTTATTCCCAAGTGTGCTGAACACTGAACCTCTGGCAGACAGCTCGGGCAGGTGCAATCCCAGAGGGACAAAAAGGCTTCCAGAGACTCAATTTTGGGGGCTGCTGCTTGTGCATCCCATGCTGTGTCACTGTGTGAGGGGCTGCTGAATTCCCTGGGATAGGTGTAGGGGAGTGTGCAGCTGCCTGAGAATTATTCCATTCCAGAAAGGAGACAGGAGAATTTTCTCATTTAATTGCCTCTTATTTTAGGGCTAAGCCAGAGATTCTGTTTGAGGGGTCCAACAGAGAACTTTTTGAGCTGTGAAAACCTTTACACCAAAGTGTGTTAGTGCAATTAATAACCTGCAAGCAGCAGCAGATACTCCCAGAGTCTGTAACAGCACAACAGGGGAGCAGAAACAAAAGTTGGAAAAAAAAAAGATTTTTGGTCAGTTTTTTTGGCTGTAGAGGAAGGTGGGTAAAGTCTGTGTTAAAACATGTCCAGGGCAGGAGGTGGCAGTGATGTCACCTGTGCTGTGGTCTCTGAAACAGCTCCTGACTGCATTTACTGAGGAGGCTTTGGTAGCAATGTTTGTGAGTGAAAATGCAGTCTGGTAACTGCAGATAAATTATGTGGGCTTTGTAGAATAAACCAGGTTTTCTAATAACTTCCAAAGCAACCATGAGCTTCCACAGTGAGAGCATCTTCCTTTTGTGCTTCAGGCTTGTGGAGCTGAAAGACTCAGTTTGTGATGTCAGCCTGGGCTTCAACAAAATCTCCTGCATTTCCTCGGGGCTGTGCCTGCTCCAGAAGCTGACACATTTGGATCTCAGGTTGGTGATGTGTGTTGCACTTCCTTGCCTGGGAGCTTCTCTGCCTGCCTCCCTAAAGCAGCCATCTGTTCCAGTGGGATGGCAGCACTGAAATCATCTCTCACTCCCAAAATCTCCCCGTGCCAGAGCCAGAATAGGACGTGGCCTAAATTTGGGCCTTGCTTAAAGAAGGCACAGAAAGAAATGGGCCATTTCTGAGATTTGCTGGAGGAGGGAGCCTGCCTCACTCAGAGAAGGGTTCTGAGATGTTGCTATTTCAAAACACTCCCACTACACCCCAGAAGAAAACCACACCAAAAAATCCTGGGAATTAGGACAGGGAAGGTGCAGATTTTGTTGCACTGCTGGAAGGAGAGGCGAGAGATGGTTCCTTGTTATCACCTTGCCTCCTCTGATTCCTGAGAAATGCTCCTGGATCAGGATTAGCTCAATCCATTAATTCTGGGGAGCTTTGGAGTGTCCTGATGGATTCACTTTGGCTCCAGGGTCTGGGCACTCTGATAAGCTTTTCCCTGGGAGCAAGGAGCTAAATTTCCAGGCAGGTGTGTGCAGTTGGTGGCTGCTTGGGAATACTTGTGAATCTTTAGGGGACAGGCTTTGAGTGTCCTCCTGGCAGAAATGGGAATCCCTGGCATGTTCTTGCCCCTGTTACGAGGCAGTGAACTGGCCCCAGACTCTGTAGCTGATCTGGGAATTCTCAACCAAACCCTGACTAAGTTTAGTGCTTTTGTTTTTCCTTTCTTTGATAACAGAAACAATGTTCTGACAGCCTTGCCTGAGGAAATGGAGGCACTGAAAAGACTGCACACAATAAATCTTGCTTTTAACAGGTGAGTAAGTCTTCAGATTTTTTAAAACACAATAATAAAAAGAGCTGGGCTGAGTTTGACGCAATTTTCCTTTGATGTGAGAACAAGGAGCCACTTCAATGAGCTGGGAGCTCCCATGAAGTGCTGCTCTTTTGAATGCCCTGTTCCTGACTATCCCTCCTTTCTCTTCCTGAAGATTTAAGGTGTTTCCCAGTGTCCTGTATCGCCTCCCAGCCCTGGAGACCATCCTGCTCAGCAACAACCAGGTGGGATCCATCGACCCCGTGCAGCTGAAGGGGCTGGACAAGCTGGGGACGCTGGACCTGCAGAACAATGACCTCCTCCAGGTGCCCCCAGAGCTGGGCAACTGTGAGAACCTCAGGTGTGTGGGGCCAGGGGGCCTGCTTATAAACACATTTGCTGCCTAAGTTCTTCAGGAAGTGTTTGCCAGAGGAAAAAACACCCATTGGCAGGGTGTTTGGTTTGCCCAAAAGGGTCTCTCTGACCAGCTGTAGGACAGGGCAATTTCTTCCATAATCTCTTCCCTAATTTCTCAATATTGCAGAGAATTGTGGGAGTTGTTTCATCAACTAACTAGGACTGATGTTGAGGGTCTGGGGGTTGTGTGAAGCTCGTGGTGGAGCCTTAGGGGGTGGCATTTGCTGTGCTCCCAGGCACGCTGCTGGTGCAGGGAGGTTGGACCAGCTGACCCCACTGCTCCCATCTGGCCTGAGCCGCTCTGGAATTCTGTGTCTGTATTCCAGAAGTTCTCTCCTCGCTGCTCCTGGCAGAGGCTGAAGGAGTGGGGTGTGTGCTACACCCCCACTGATTCATCAGCACTAATTAAAACTCGGCTGTCTCAAAGCTCAGCTGCTGAGAACGAGGGAAGCAGAAACCCAAACTCGTTAAGCAGCACGGAAGGGGCGCTCCCCAGGAATTTCAAAGGCCTCAGAAAGCTGTGTGGGGGGGTTCAAGGAGATTTATCCCAGTAACTCATCCCTGTTTGCAGGAGCCTGCTGCTGGAAGGGAACCCGTTCCGCACGCCCCGCGCTGCCGTGCTGGCCAAGGGCACGGCTGCCGTGCTGGAGTACCTGCGGAGCCGCATTCCCTCCTGAGCCTGGGCATCCTCCTGAGCCCTGGGAACTCCTCCTGAGCCTGGGCATTCCCTCCTCCTGAGCCTGGGTATTCCCTCCTCCTGAGCCTGGGCATTCCATCCTCCTGAGCCCTGGGAACTCCTCCTGAGCCTGGGCATTCCCTCCTCCTGAGCCTGGGTATTCCCTCCTCCTGAGCCTGGGCATTCCATCCTCCTGAGCCCTGGGAACTCCTCCTGAGCCTGGGCATTCCCTCCTCCTGAGCCTGGGCATTCCCTCCTCCTGAGCCTGGGCATTCCCTCCTCCTGAGCCTGGGCATTCCCTCCTCCTGAGCCTGGGCATTCCCTCCTCCTGAGCCCGGGCATTCCCTCCTCCTGAGCCCAGGCATCCTCCTGAGCCCAGGCATCCTCCTGAGCCCGGGCATTCCTCCTGAGCCTGGGCATTCCCTCCTCCTGAGCCCTGGGCACTCCTCCTGAGCCCTGGGCACTCCTCCTGAGCCCTGGCCATTCCCTCCTCAGCCCTGAGCCTTGGCCATTCCCACTTCAGCCCTGGCCAAGGGCATGGCTGCTGTGCTGGAATACCTTTGGAGCTGCATTCCCACTGAGCCCTGGGCATTCCTGCCTGGCCTGGCCTTGCCAAGGGCACGGCTGCACTGCTGGAACACCTGCAGAGCCACATTCCAGCAGCACAGGAGCAGCCAGGTACCCCCTGTCCCACCAGCACCCCTGGGCTCCACTGCTTCCATCCTTCTCCTGCTCTGGCTGGGAGTCTGCCCAGTGCTAAGAACCCAGCTGTGGAACATTCCTTGCCCTCTGTATGTTCCAGCAGGGATTTCAGCATCCCACACCACTCTGTTTACACTGTTTGTAATAAATGACAGCAAGGAGAGCTGCCTTCAGCACAGCCATGGTGCTGCCTGCTGCTGAGCTGGGCTCTGGATAGAGTTTTCAGCACCAAAACACTGGTGCCAAAGGCAGAAGGGACCACAGTGGGTTTTGTATTCGAGTTCTCTCTTGTTTCACTGCTGTCCCCTGAACTGTCTCCTGGTATGAGTGAGGTTGAGTGCTTGAGCTGTGAGGTGGTGAGAGATGCCCCAGGTGTGTGCAGGGCTCACTTGAGTGAAAACGGGGCTGGTGCTGTGCTGAGACAATAAATGTTCCCCTTGGATGTCTGCTTTGGGTCCTTCAGGCTGTAACTGAGCTCTGTAGATGGGAACATTGGGAACTTCTCTTGTTCAGACACACTTCCAGATGTCCTGCAGGTGGTACCTTTAATAGTAATAGTGCTGTGGATGAGGCTCCACCACCCTCCAGTGCCTGAAATTCCTGCTGGAGTCCCCCCTGAGCTGCCCTGGCCCAGCCTGGGGCCGTTCCCTCTGCTCCTGTCCCTGTTCCTGGAGCAGATCCCAAACCTGGCAGGAGCTGTGCAGAGCCAGAAGGGCCCTGAGCCTCCTTTGCTCCAGGCTGAGCCCCCTCAGCTCCCTCAGGGATTCTTCAGCCCCTTCCCGGCTCCCTCAGGGATTCTCCAGCCCCTTCCCGGCTCCCTCAGGGATTCTCCAGCCCCTTCCCGCCTCCCTCAGGGATCCTCCAGCCCCTTCCCATCTCTGTTCCCTGCCCTGGACACTCTCCATCCCCTCAGGGTCTCTCAGGGGCACAGCCCTGGGGTTTCTGTAGCACAGCAGGATTTTATACAGTTCCTCACTAACATTCCCAGCTTTTGAACGCGTCCAGGTGAACATACAACACTCTGAGCTCACCCTCAGCTCCCCAGGTGTGGGAATTGCCTTCTGGCTGGAGCAGGGGGGGACACCTGGAGCTCCTTGGATGGTGGAACTGCTGCTGCCCTCACCCCTGCCCCTTTTTGTTTCCATACATTTTGTCCTTTCATCCATTTCTTCCATGCATTCATCCTCCATACATTTGTCCTTCCACACATTTGCCCCAAAAGCTGCCAAACCTGAGTTTTCTTCCCCATTTCCATCGCTCCCTTTCCATATTTGGTGTCTCCCAGTGGCTGCAGCTGGACCAGGTTTGGAGTTCCCCAAATTTCCAGGCTCATTCCCCGCCCTCTGAAACCTCCTTTCTGCCAGGAAAAAAAAAAAAAACCACCCAAAAGCCTTACAATAAGGTGACGTTTTTATTATTTATACAATAAAGAGACTTTTTAATGTTATTCAAAACACTTTTTTTTTTGGAAATACTGAAAAAGGTGGGTACAGCAAAGCCGAAAATGGCTCTGCTGCACTGCACAGCATCGGTTCAGTCCCTGGGCTCCCTCTGCAACGGAGCAGCTGCAAAATGCAGCAGCCCCAGAGCACGGGGAGGGGACAACCTGCATGTGCCGAGGGACAGGAGCTGATTGCACTCAATCAATAGATTTAAAATAGAGTTTTTGAAGTACCTTTTTGCACATAAAATGAAGCAGCTTTCAAGTTCAGTAAGTCTTTATACTGCAAAAAACATGAAGTACATTCACAATCTATGTTAATAAAGTAGTAAATATTTCCTCATTCAGCTTTATTTACATGGATACTGGATTCAACTGAAAAGTACAGTCATCTGGAATATAGCAATCTTTGAACACATACAAAAATGACCATTTCTGTATATAATTTAAGCTCAAAATCACAATTATCTCAAAATATTAATTACAATACAGCCATCTCCATCATAATTAAACATGTCTTTTATAAAATGGTAAAATCTTTACTAAAGGAAGCTGTTGGTTCTGAACTGGATACAGTACTCACAGGTAGAAAACCGAAGTGATGAGCGGGTGCCCTGCCCAGGGAGGAGGAGGAGGAGGAGGAGGGAGGGGACACAGCCACCGCCACCCAAGGGACACGGAAAGGCCCCAGTGCCACCTCTCGTGCCATGGGCTGTGCCAGGAGTGCCCAGAACCCCGGGAATCCTGACCCATGCCACAGTGTCAGTCAGTCACTTCCACTAAATCAGCTGGAATCGACCAGGGAGAAGATTGGCAAAAAGCTTTTTTGGGGGGGTTTCCTTTTTTTTTTTTTTTTCCTTTTTTTTGGTTTGAAATTCTGTGATTTGCAAATGGTGCCTTTTGGGGCTGGGTGGTGGCCCCGGTGGCACCACGGCTGTGCCTGGCCGTGGCTCCAGGGCCAGGCCAGCTCCCTGTGGATCCCTGGATCCGTATCCTGGCCAAACTGCTGCCCAGAAAGCTGTATGGGCACGGGATGGGCCTGCCCTGCCTGCCAGGGACAGCCCTGAACTGGGCACTGCCAAAGGGACGGCGAGGGACGGGCACGGGCAGGGAGCTCCGGCTGGCACAACATCCCCAATGGCCTTTGGAAATTCTAACTGTGACATCCCACCAGTTCACAGAATCACAGGAGGGACCTCTGGGCACCGTCCAGCCCAGCCTGGAGCGGGGACACGGGATGTGTCTGGGCGGGGTTGGGATGTCCCCAGAGAGGGAAACCCCAGACCCGCTGTGGGACGCCGGCCAGGGCTGTGCCACCCCCAGGGAAAGAAGTTCTTCCTCGTGCTGAGGTGGGACTTGCTCTGTTTGCTTATGTCCAAAACCTGCCAGGGTGGGTGCTGACCCCGCAGCTCTGTCACCCCCTGAGCCATGCTGGGACCTGTCCCCAACGCTGCTGCTGTGGGACAGGCTCTGCCAGGCCAGGGGTGCCAGCAGGACATGCCTCACCCATGGCAGTGCCTGGGGATAAACACCCCCACCCCCCCCCCCGTGGCCTCCCTGGAGCCCTGCCCTCATCCGATCCCATTGCCAGGGGTCATTTCCCTGGTTTTGCTTCCCTGTCCTCGAATTCCCCCTCACAGCTCTGATTGCATCAGGAAATTCAGTGCTAATTACAGCACTGAGGGGTCCCAGCATCCCAGAATGGGCTGGGGGGGAAGGGACCTCAAATCCCACCCAGTGTCACCCTGCCCTGGCAGGGACACCTCCCACTGTCCCAGGAGCTCCAGCCCCAGTGTCCAGCCTGGCCTTGGACACTGCCAGGGATCCAGGGGCACCACAGCTGCTCTGGGAATTCCATCCCAGTCCCTGCCCACCCTGCCAGGGAACAATTCCCAATTCCCAATCTCCCATCCATCCCTGCCCTCTGGCAGTGAAGCCATTCCCTGTGTCCTGTCCCTCCCTGCCTTGTCCCCAGTCCCTCTCCAGCTTGCCTGGAGCCCCTTCAGGCCCTGGAAAGGGCTTTAACCAAGAATTTTAACATCTTTACACTCCAAGTGCTCACTACCAACAGCAAACCATCCTCCTGGACGTTTCCTACTCAGATTTTTCCTGGATTTCCTTGGCTCTGCTCTCAGCTGCCCCATTCACCCCAAGTCTTGTCCTGCTGCTCCCTGTGTGGAGCTCCCTGTCCCCTCCCAGGGCTGGCACTGCCACCAAACACAGATGCAGACGTGGATGTGTTAAAAAATACCTTGGAAAACATGAAACCGGATTTGAGGATGTTAAATGGTCGCTGTTGGGAACAACTGGCTGAGAACTCTCCTGGTTTGCCATCACCTGGGTAGGAACTGTGAGCTGGCACTGGGAAAATGGGAAATTATTAGGGGTGGAGGGTCCTGGAGGCTTCCCCGGGCCTGCAGCTGCCCACAGCCAGAGGGAGAAGGTTTGGGAATTCTTGGAGAAGCGGAACATCCCCATGGGCTGTGGCTGCACCCTTGGCTGTGGGATTTTGGGTGGGAATGGTGCAGGTGATCCAGAGCTGTCCCTCAGCCCCTGGCCATTGCTCGAGGGCACTGGGATCCCCTGAAAACAGCGGCAAAGAGCTTTCCCATTTTCTGCCAGGGATAACCAGGCTGGACCCCGGCACCCCCGAAGCAGCAGCAGCTGGGCACAGTCTGGGCTTTGGGATTCTCCCTTGGGAACAGCCCCAGGGCTTGGACATGAGGGGATGTCCCACTGGCCCTGAGCTGGGAATGCTCCTCCCGGGCAGGCTCGGGGTCACCTGCTGCTCCCTGGGATGTGTCTGTGCCCATCCCTTTCCAGGACTCCAGTCCAGGATCCCAGAAAGCCTCACCCATGGGAATATCCCGAGCAGGGCCCGGAGCAGGGGGGAAAAATACACAACAATGTCAATGGGGAGTCTGAAATGAAAAATTAACGAGTTAAATTAGCAGCAACAAAAGGAGTTTTACTGCCACCATCACAACCTTCCTCCATCCGTGAGCCAAACCTGCCTGTCCTCGGTGTTCTCCTGTAGTGTGTGCACATGGAATCGAGGGAAGAGCCAAAGCAAAGGGAGTTAACCTGTTCTGAAGGGAGTTCACCCATTCCAGAGGGAGTTCACCCATTCCAGAGGAAGCTGGAATCATAGAACCATGGCATGGGTTGGGTTGGGAAGGACCTTGAAGCTCACCTTGCTTAACCCCTGCCATGGCAGAGACATTTTCCGCTGCTCCAGGCTGCTCCAAGCCCTGTCCAGCCCGACCCATTCCAGAGGGAGATATCCCATTCCAGAAGGAGTTACCCCATTCCAGAGGGAGTTCACCCATTCCAGAGGGAATTCACCCATTCCAGAAGGAGCCATCCCATTCCAGAAGGAGTTATCCCATTCCAGAAGGAGTTATCCCATTCCAGAGGGAGTGATCCCATTCCAGAGGGAGCTCATCCATTCCAGAGGGAGTTATCCCATTCCAGAAGGAGCCATCCCATTCCAGAAGGAATTATTCCATTCCAGAGGGAGCTATCCCATTCCAGAAGGAATTATTCCATTCCAGAGGGGGCTATCCCATTCCAGAAGGAGTTATCCCATTCCAGAAGGAGTTATCCCATTCCAGAAGGAGTGACCCCATTCCAGAGGGAGTTCACCCATTCCAGAAGGAGCCATCCCATTCCAGAGGGAGCTCAGCCATTCCAGAGGGAGCCATCCCATTCCCACGCGGGTTCCTTGTCCCGAGGTCCCAGAGTTACAGCTGGAGAAGTCTCTCACCCTGTGTAGTGAATTGTTCCTGATCCCTACGGAGCCAGCTATACACACGGCATATGTACAGGTATTTTCATAAGGCATAGAATATCTTTGCATTGAAAATAAATGAACATTATTAAATTTAATTTAATATATACTTTCTTTGAGGTGTTTATGAAAATATTTTCTTCTCTATACTTTCGTATGCGACATGATAGAAATATTTCATGGGAAGTACAGGTTAATATATTTAATCTTTATAAAGGCATATACAATTTTGAGGCAGTGTTTCAGATGGACAGCAGAATTCCTAAAGGATTTGTATGTGCTTCTGTGTTTTGAAATCATATGAAATTGACTTTTAAGAAGGAACTTGGTTTAAAAAACGCACCAATGCACAGCCAGAGGCTGACAAGTAAAACTAATACGGAGCCACATGAACAATATATTTATAGAGTTAATTCTTATATTTTCTCCCGATAATTGGTACTAACATAGAGTATTATACATTTGGCACTACTGTTTGCCATTGGTCCAGCAATTGGCAAAAAATTGGTTTCCTATGTATAAATCCTTTTGAACATTAGATCTGGCTAGACATATTTACTATTTATAAAAAAATATTTAGACAGTAAGCTCACGTTGGATAACTAAGTCTACTGTGTTCTGGAAACTCTTCAGTAGGAGCACAGCCTTCTCGTGTTCCAGGTGTACAAAGCTGTGTCCGTTGGCCTGCAGCAGGGAAAACACAAGGGAAGAGGCTTTAGTGGCTTGTTCTGGGGGAAAAAAAGGCCTATTTGGCGATTAAGAGCAAAGCTGAAATAAATAATGAACAAGTGGGGGTTTCTCATGAACACAAAGCACACATTTCTCCTGTCCTCTGTGGGATGGCTTTAGGGCTGGGCTGGAGGCTCCAAGGAAGGATTTCATTCCCACCGAAATCACTCTGTGACTCCGGGATGGCTCTGGGGTCTGACCATGCTTAAAGCCTCAACACAACAAAACACCTTTCCTCTGGGAAAGAGGAATCCAAATTCCGGACAGGGAAGATTCCAAAGACACCCACAACTGTGCCAAAGCGGTGCAGAGCCAGAAGGGCCCTGAGCCTCCTTTGCTCCAGGCTGAGCCCCCTCAGCTCCCTCAGGGATCCCCCGGCCCCTTCCCGGCTCCCTCAGGGATTCTCCAGCCCCTTCCCGAATCCCTCAGGGATCCTCCAGCCCCTTCCCGGCTCCCTCAGGGATCCTCCGGCCCCTTCCCGGCTCCCTCAGGGATCCTCCGGCCCCTTCCCGAATCCCTCAGGGATTCTCCAGCCCCTTCCCGGCTCCTTCAGGGATCCTCCGGCCCCTTCCCGGCTCCCTCAGGGATCCCCCGGCCCCTTCCCGGCTCCTTCAGGGATTCTCCAGCCCCCTCAGCTCCCTCAGGGATCCCCCGGCCCCTTCCCGGCTCCCTCAGGGATTTTCCACTCCTTCCCGGCTCCCTCAGGGATCCTCCGGCCCTTTCCCGAATCCCTCAGGGATCCTCCATCCCCTTCCCGGCTCCCTCAGGGATCCTCCGGCCCCTTCCCGAATCCCTCAGGGATTCTCTAGCTCCTTCCCAGCTCCCTCAGGGATCCTCCAGCTCCCTCAGGGATCCCTCGGCCCCTTCCCGGCTCCCTCAGGGATTCTCTGGCTCCCTCAGGGATTCTCCAGCCCCTTCCCGGTTCCCTCAGGGATTCCCAGCCCGTTCCCAGCTCCATTCCCTGCCCTGGACTCTCTCCAGCCCCTCGGGCTCTGCTTTGGGGTACCCAGCAGTGGCCGCAGAGTGGAGGTACCCCAGCCCGGGGACAATCCCTGTCCTCGGGCACTGCCCGCGGGTTTTGGTTCAAACCAGGTGCCTCTGGTCACCAGGGCGAGCAGTGCTTGGGGTACGAGCTGTAAATCCATATTGGAGACCCCCAAACAGCAGAGGCAGCTCGGCCCTGCTGCAAACACCCCCCACGTTCAGACTTTCACCTGAGCTCCCAGCCCAGGGCTCCCCAGCATCCCTACCTGGAGGATTTTGTCTCCGGGCTGGAGCAGGCTGGAGGCAGGGCCGTCAGGCTGAACCCTAGTAACAAAGATACCCTATAAGTCAGAAGTAACACAGGTTAGGATGCTTTCTCCAAGAACTACATCCCACAAAACACGGGGCTCCCTGCCTAGCTGGGGCCTGGGGGCTCTGCATGCCCTGGAGATGGGTTCACAGCAAACTGGTTTATTCTGTTTGCTATCAAACACCAGTCTGGGGGTGGAGCAGCTCTCTGGGACATTCAGCGCTTATCAGTAATTGTGGGTCATTTCAAACTAAAATCCCACATCACAAAGAAAGTCCAACGTGAGCAGGGCAAGAGTGGCAGGTTGTCAGGAGGGTAATTAAAATGGAACAAATGCTAATTATTGGAATAATGTGCATCATAATCACTACAGCAATCTTTGCTTCCTTTAGGAAGCACAGCTTCAATTTCATTATTTGAAATATTTATGGAAGTTTTCACTGTCCCTGCAGCATGAATGCAGATTTATCCAAGCACATCAGCTCCAGGAATGTCCTCAAGGCCTCCTTTTCCAACAACCTGCAGTCAGTTCCATGGCACCACACACAAACCCACAGGGGTACGAGTGCACATCCCAATCCTACAGCCCTGGCAGCCGGGACTCAGCACACGTTGGAGTTTCTTCTATTGCAAATCCATTTATCTTAAACGTGCAATTCCCAAAATGAACCCCGAGTGTCCCTGACCACCACCAGGTGTCAGTTTTAACTCCCAGTACAGGAGACATCTGCTGCCGTGGGGTCTGTAAGGATCCAGGGATTTCCAGGCTGCTTTTATTTGACACAGCAGCTACAAACCCTGGAATTTCAGCCTCCAGGGATGATACTGTACTTTAGTATAATACATAATATAATATAATATAATATAATATAATATAATATAATATAATATAATATAATATAATATAATAAATATAATATAATATAATATAATATAATATAATATAATATAATATAATATAATATAATATAATATAATATAATATAATATAA